ACACACACATTTTTAAAGCAACAGTGCATTTTTTATAGTACATAGTATATAGTATCCATTTTTCAGTATATATGCTTATAATCAATCTGTAGATTTGACTATACTCATTTCTAGCATGTAGTGCCTTTAAAAATTAATTAGTCCTATTATTTTCTGCTACTAAAACAATGTTTATTTATTTGACTAAATTAAAAATCTTGTCAGTGCAGACACATTCAATAATTGTCCAGAATCTGTTATTTTTAACTAATAAATGTTTTGATCTTGCTGGCTTGGAGCTATGGTATGCCTTGATGTGCTTCATATGGAGCCTTACATTTAAATAACCATGCATTAAAATAAATCCACATGGTTTACAATAACAACACATCTGCCCTGCTATGCATACATTTAATTTTAAAACAGAAAGGTTCGATTGTTATCCCAGGAGCCAGTCTCAGTGAGTGAATGTACGAGTGTGTGTGTTTAAGGCTCAGTTTTCCGCTACACTCTGGAATGCGGCCAGTCCCGTCTCTCTCTCTCTCTCTCTCTCTCTCTCTCTCTCTCGAATCCATATTCTGGTTCCAAATCCAAAGCCTTTGATCTTTCTCGCTGTGTCTCCTTTACCCGGAAGAGAACCGTCGCTTTCCCTCTCAGCTGGGATGAAGGCGCGCGTGGAAATGTTGGCCCATCTCCATCCTCACGCCATATATGGTCATACAAAGGCTGGGGATGAAAGAGGCCGCCGCCGCCAGATCAAAGGAAGCCACGGCTCCGCCCACTGACCCCACCTCCGCCTGCTTTATAAAGATCTGCCTCCTACTCCAAACTTATTCTCACGCAAACCGCAGAAACACTTCCCAATGTTTTTCTTCCCCCTTCTTGTTTTCTGATACATTGAGGGAGGGCTCCTTGAATTTATCTGGATTTGTAAATTTGAATCTTGCGAGCAGATTTTGTAGCTGCTTACATTTATGCTTTATTCATCGTAACAATTTCATAAAATCTGTTTAATATGATAATTTGCCTAAAATGGTTAAATGAAAATGTGTGTTTTCATGTTTTCAAGTAAATACTGCAGGTAATATATGGATTTTCTAAAAGTAGCCTACTTTAAGGGAAAATTGTGTAATTGATTTTTATGTCATTGCCACTGATTATTAAAATGCTTGGACATTTTCAAACAAATATGCCTCCTCAAATTTTCAAACAAATATGCCTCCTCAAATTTCAGGGCAATCTGCTTTATTTATGCTTTATAATATGCTTTATTTTTAATCAATTAATTAATTTATTTGAGCGTTATTTTTTTTCTAAAGGTTACTCATATGCAATAGAAATATTTCGTAACGTATAAAATATTTTCGAGTTCAAATGTGACCTCTAAGATCAAGTGAAATTAAGCTACTTACAAAAACGTGATATATCAAACATTGGGTGATTAAACAGTGTATGTTTTATAAAGAAGCTTAATTACATTAAACATTTCAATTTAGATTACCTTGAGAACAAAAGCAGCATTCAGGTCAACATCAAGTATTCATTAAATCGAGCTATATGCATGAAAAGATTGACTAATAAGATGACTAAGATAAAAACAACTTCCTAAATCTTTTCAAACGGAATCTCATCCTCTATTATACAGCTGCATTAAATGCGATTCATGTATTTACATTTTGCATCTTTGATGTCACCCTTTGCAGCGTAATGCAGATCAATGATTAAGCCCGTAGTATAGTTTTCTTTTCTGTCCACATAACATTGCCATTTTAATATCAGTCTTTTGTTGTTGTTTTTCATTTTATTCAAATGATTATTTATTATGATCATTGAAAAAATTGTGCCTCAATTTGTGACATTCTGGTATTTTTCAGCTTTTTTTTTTTTCTAATATAGTAGTTTATTAATTTACCACTGAATCAAGCAGTGCTGTTGACACTATTTACTGCTGGTGACATTTATAGATTTTTTTAAATCACCATTAACACCATTTTTTTTAGGTGGTAATCAAACACTTGTTCAAAAATAATTATGTTACATTATATTATTATAATTGTGCCATCCACATCACCATTCCTATACTTCATTTTAATCAATTCAATTCAAAGATGGTAAATAAAACGTGGAAACAAAAATATAATAAAACATCATAAGAGGTCTATGCAATTTTGTGCAATATTTATGGTTCCAATGGAAGTACACTGGAAACAGTTTCAACCCTCCCCAATCTGGTCAGTCATGGTATTTCTAATTTTATTTAAACATTAATATGAAAAGCTTGATTGGATGTTATATTAAACAAAATAACCTGTTGATTCAGATGAAGCCAGCTCTGTCAACATTCATTAATATGTTCCCAAATATGCGTCCTGTAAATCCTGTATTTTACACAGATAATGTATGATAGTGATTTCACTCCTGAAGCTCATTTCTAATTGGTTAAACTGACGGTGTTACGACACTGTTTTCGTTTCCAACAGCTCCAAAATCAATCGGAGAACAGTACTTGGTGTCTCCTACCTCCACATTTTCCGCTCTCTGTCCATTTGTAGGAAGAAATGTATAAAATCCCCCTTTACTTTCCTCAGGAGTGCCAGTCAATGCATGTGCGCTCTCGCGCGTGTGTGAGTGAGGTGTCAATCAAAGCGGCGGCTTCTCTTTCATCTCTATAGTCAGTCAGAGATCAGGGGGAGGAGTACAGCACTACACTCTCTCCAGCCCAACATTACTCTCAGTCTCTGCTGAGCGCATTTCTGAAGAGGGACACCTTTATACCCAAGAAACCAAACGGGAATGACACACAGCATCTGAACTCGAGTACTTTTTTTTTTTAACTGTCAAAACCGTCCTGCGTTCAACTATAACTTCTAACTTTTGCTTTTAAAAACACCACAGGAGTCGTACTTTAACTTGTGAAGCACTCCGCGTCGCTATATTGGATTCTCGAGTGTTGCACCGGTCGCGGGAAGCGCTAACGCGCGTGTTTGGAGGTGAAAGTATACGGGGGTTTTCTGTCGCACGCGTTCGCTTTCCGGGCGTTTGTAGGGTGAGGAGGACTTTCAATCACCCGAGAAATGCCGCAGTTGTCAGGTGGAGGAGGCGGCGGGGACCCGGAGCTCTGCGCCACCGATGAAATGATCCCGTTCAAAGATGAGGGAGACCCGCAGAAGGAGCAGATCTTCGCGGAGATCAGCCACTCTGAGGAGGAGGGAGACTTAGCGGAGATCAAGTCATCTCTGGTCAACGAGACAGAAATCAGTCCTAACAGTCACGACGTGAGTACGCCTCAAACGCACGTGAAGGTCCTGTGCAATCTCCGTCAAACTTCATGTGTCCTATTGTTGGGAAGTTGGGATTTGTTTTCAAAATGAAGAGTCGTGTTGATATTTTAACCTCTGTTCTGTGAGTGTGTGTGTGCGCGTGTGTGGTTTAAATGGTAGAGCTACACGTGTTAAAGTCAACAAACTCATTTGGACTCCACAGTCCTTATTTAAGCGAGAAAAAGGACTAAAAGAGCCAGGATGACCAGTAGTTGCTTTAAACATCACAGAAATTATAGCTTTCCATATTTTTAGTTTTTCCGGATTTGTATTCATTCAACCATTTAACTTTTTTTAAACCCACAGTCGTAATTTAATTGTCAAAGAAGGCTGTGTTAATCAATATTTTTATTTTATTGATCACAAAGACATTAGCATTTAAATAGTTTTTATTTGAAATTTGAGATTATATTATTTATTATGTTTGAGATTATATTTATTCAGTTTATTCAACAATTCATGTTATTAAAAAATGAATATAAACAGTTATTGAAATATAAAACAGTTATTAAAAAGAATGTAAATAAAATTTTGCAATGCTGCTACTTCTACTACCAATAGCAAAGTTACATTTTGTTGTTGTTGTTGTTATGATTATTGCAATTTTTGAGATTATTAATTGTTTAGGAAAGTCTGCCAGATAATGGGTGCAATATGCACATATTTTAATATTTCTGAAACAGCTTATTATGCCTCGGATTGGTTTATTGTTGTATTCTTTTACAATTATCCACAACAATGCTATATGCTTTTTTAATTAATGTATTAATATAAATTTTTAATATGCATTAAAATCAGCACATGCCGTTTATGGTGGCGACAACGTTATTTGCCTGTTCTTATATAAATTGCATATTGCATGCAATTTCACACAAAGGAAATAGGAAACAATTATTTCAATGAAACAAAATGGAAGTCTATATCCATCTGAATTTTGTGAAGCAGTTGACAGATGTGTGTGCTGGTGTAAATTCGTTTGTTTATTTTTTTGTGTTTCTCTGATCATGTGTGTTTCTTCCATTACTACCTGGTCCTGTGAATCAAGTGAACTGAACTAAAGAATAAAAAGATTTAAAGCTTTTATTTTTAATTAAATATATTTCCTCCTGGCATCAACAGCATGCAGGGTTATAGCTTGACATGAGAAAGAACAAACTGATGGGCTAAATGTTAATTGGGAAGGCAGTGCAGATCCCTCACTCTGCTGGAAGGCACCCAGAGGGAGCTGAACTCCAAATGCAGTTTATTTCCCGGCACTTCTGATTCATAATGCGGAGCGAACAAGAATAGTAACGAAGCCTTTCTTTTTCCTTCCTCAAGATACCGCATTTGTGGTCAGACTCCACAGCAGAGAGAAAATGACTGAGTTAATCAATGTATAAAAATGCAAGATATATTTTCCTTATTGATGCTTTCTGCTAAAAATATGATAAACGCATACCTTATTTTGTCAGCTTTGGTTTTAGGATTAAACAATTTTTTTCTTCAGAAAGCAGGAAATGCTGGAAAATGAAAGAAATAACGTTGCACGTTAGCAATTAAGCTGTTAATATCTCTCTCCTACATTTTTGAACAGGCAGCTAGACAGTCCCAAATAACACCAGACTCTTATCATGAGAAGCACATGGACCATCTGGATGATGGTAAGTCATATGGCTTGGGAAAAAATGTGTAATATTATTAAATCCTTGATTTGGTGTAACTTCGTTTTTTTTTTCTTAACAGCATGCTTTACAAAATCATAACATTTTCATTCACTTATGTTAAAACATACACTTGCAAAGAAATCCATTTATTTATATATATATTTTCTTTTAAAAATGTATTACAGTTCTAATGCATAACAGATTTAGTTTTTTTCTACATATGCCTGTAATTATTTAGATTTGTTGTTTTAATTAATTGATTCTGAAGGCTTTGTGAAGGGAATTTCTCAGCCCACAGTCTGTTTGGTGTCGACACGTAATGATACGTGTCAGGGAAGAGCCCCATCTTCCTCTGATACGCTGCCCTCCAAACACACCGTCTGAGACGCTATTGTCAAGAGCAGCATGTTGCTGTGATGGCCCGGAGTTCATTTGATCTCTGTTTACACCCGGGTCTTTTTTACGCCGCGCTGGGTTCACAGTGAAGTGACTTGATTGTCTTTTCCTGCAGATCAATGATTAAGCCCGTAGTATAGTTTTCTTTTCTGTCCACATAACATTGCCATTTTAATATCAGTCTTTTGTTGTTGTTTTTCATTTTATTCAAATGATTATTTATTATGATCATTGAAAAAATTGTGCCTCAATTTGTGACATTCTGGTATTTTTCAGCTTTTTTTTTTTTCTAATATAGTAGTTTATTAATTTACCACTGAATCAAGCAGTGCTGTTGACACTATTTACTGCTGGTGACATTTATAGATTTTTTTAAATCACCATTAACACCATTTTTTTTAGGTGGTAATCAAACACTTGTTCAAAAATAATTATGTTACATTATATTATTATAATTGTGCCATCCACATCACCATTCCTATACTTCATTTTAATCAATTCAATTCAAAGATGGTAAATAAAACGTGGAAACAAAAATATAATAAAACATCATAAGAGGTCTATGCAATTTTGTGCAATATTTATGGTTCCAATGGAAGTACACTGGAAACAGTTTCAACCCTCCCCAATCTGGTCAGTCATGGTATTTCTAATTTTATTTAAACATTAATATGAAAAGCTTGATTGGATGTTATATTAAACAAAATAACCTGTTGATTCAGATGAAGCCAGCTCTGTCAACATTCATTAATATGTTCCCAAATATGCGTCCTGTAAATCCTGTATTTTACACAGATAATGTATGATAGTGATTTCACTCCTGAAGCTCATTTCTAATTGGTTAAACTGACGGTGTTACGACACTGTTTTCGTTTCCAACAGCTCCAAAATCAATCGGAGAACAGTACTTGGTGTCTCCTACCTCCACATTTTCCGCTCTCTGTCCATTTGTAGGAAGAAATGTATAAAATCCCCCTTTACTTTCCTCAGGAGTGCCAGTCAATGCATGTGCGCTCTCGCGCGTGTGTGAGTGAGGTGTCAATCAAAGCGGCGGCTTCTCTTTCATCTCTATAGTCAGTCAGAGATCAGGGGGAGGAGTACAGCACTACACTCTCTCCAGCCCAACATTACTCTCAGTCTCTGCTGAGCGCATTTCTGAAGAGGGACACCTTTATACCCAAGAAACCAAACGGGAATGACACACAGCATCTGAACTCGAGTACTTTTTTTTTTTAACTGTCAAAACCGTCCTGCGTTCAACTATAACTTCTAACTTTTGCTTTTAAAAACACCACAGGAGTCGTACTTTAACTTGTGAAGCACTCCGCGTCGCTATATTGGATTCTCGAGTGTTGCACCGGTCGCGGGAAGCGCTAACGCGCGTGTTTGGAGGTGAAAGTATACGGGGGTTTTCTGTCGCACGCGTTCGCTTTCCGGGCGTTTGTAGGGTGAGGAGGACTTTCAATCACCCGAGAAATGCCGCAGTTGTCAGGTGGAGGAGGCGGCGGGGACCCGGAGCTCTGCGCCACCGATGAAATGATCCCGTTCAAAGATGAGGGAGACCCGCAGAAGGAGCAGATCTTCGCGGAGATCAGCCACTCTGAGGAGGAGGGAGACTTAGCGGAGATCAAGTCATCTCTGGTCAACGAGACAGAAATCAGTCCTAACAGTCACGACGTGAGTACGCCTCAAACGCACGTGAAGGTCCTGTGCAATCTCCGTCAAACTTCATGTGTCCTATTGTTGGGAAGTTGGGATTTGTTTTCAAAATGAAGAGTCCTGTTGATATTTTAACCTCTGTTCTGTGAGTGTGTGTGTGTGTGTGTGTGCGCGTGTGTGGTTTAAATGGTAGAGCTACACGTGTTAAAGTCAACAAACTCATTTGGACTCCACAGTCCTTATTTAAGCGAGAAAAAGGACTAAAAGAGCCAGGATGACCAGTAGTTGCTTTAAACATCACAGAAATTATAGCTTTCCATATTTTTAGTTTTTCCGGATTTGTATTCATTCAACCATTTAACTTTTTTTAAACCCACAGTCGTAATTTAATTGTCAAAGAAGGCTGTGTTAATCAATATTTTTATTTTATTGATCACAAAGACATTAGCATTTAAATAGTTTTTATTTGAAATTTGAGATTATATTATTTATTATGTTTGAGATTATATTTATTCAGTTTATTCAACAATTCATGTTATTAAAAAATGAATATAAACAGTTATTGAAATATAAAACAGTTATTAAAAAGAATGTAAATAAAATTTTGCAATGCTGCTACTTCTACTACCAATAGCAAAGTTACATTTTGTTGTTGTTGTTGTTATGATTATTGCAATTTTTGAGATTATTAATTGTTTAGGAAAGTCTGCCAGATAATGGGTGCAATATGCACATATTTTAATATTTCTGAAACAGCTTATTATGCCTCGGATTGGTTTATTGTTGTATTCTTTTACAATTATCCACAACAATGCTATATGCTTTTTTAATTAATGTATTAATATAAATTTTTAATATGCATTAAAATCAGCACATGCCGTTTATGGTGGCGACAACGTTATTTGCCTGTTCTTATATAAATTGCATATTGCATGCAATTTCACACAAAGGAAATAGGAAACAATTATTTCAATGAAACAAAATGGAAGTCTATATCCATCTGAATTTTGTGAAGCAGTTGACAGATGTGTGTGCTGGTGTAAATTCGTTTGTTTATTTTTTTGTGTTTCTCTGATCATGTGTGTTTCTTCCATTACTACCTGGTCCTGTGAATCAAGTGAACTGAACTAAAGAATAAAAAGATTTAAAGCTTTTATTTTTAATTAAATATATTTCCTCCTGGCATCAACAGCATGCAGGGTTATAGCTTGACATGAGAAAGAACAAACTGATGGGCTAAATGTTAATTGGGAAGGCAGTGCAGATCCCTCACTCTGCTGGAAGGCACCCAGAGGGAGCTGAACTCCAAATGCAGTTTATTTCCCGGCACTTCTGATTCATAATGCGGAGCGAACAAGAATAGTAACGAAGCCTTTCTTTTTCCTTCCTCAAGATACCGCATTTGTGGTCAGACTCCACAGCAGAGAGAAAATGACTGAGTTAATCAATGTATAAAAATGCAAGATATATTTTCCTTATTGATGCTTTCTGCTAAAAATATGATAAACGCATACCTTATTTTGTCAGCTTTGGTTTTAGGATTAAACAATTTTTTTCTTCAGAAAGCAGGAAATGCTGGAAAATGAAAGAAATAACGTTGCACGTTAGCAATTAAGCTGTTAATATCTCTCTCCTACATTTTTGAACAGGCAGCTAGACAGTCCCAAATAACACCAGACTCTTATCATGAGAAGCACAGGGACCATCTGGATGATGGTAAGTCGTATGTTTTGGGGAAAAATGTGTAATATTATTAATGTGTGGTGTAAATGCTTAAAACAGCATGCTTCTACAAAATCATCAAATTTTCATTCACTTATGTTAAACTATACATTTGCAAAGAAAGCAATTTTTTTAAATATATATTCTCTTTTAAAAAAAAGTCTTACAGTTCTAATGCATAACAGATTTTATTTTTATTTGATTTGATTGATTGTTTCTGATGGCTTTGTGAAGGGAATTTCTCAGCCCACAGTCTGTTTGGTGTCGACACGTAATGACACGTGTCAGGGAAGAGCCCCATCTTCCTCTGATACGCTGCCCTCCAAACACACCGTCTGAGACGCTATTGTCAAGAGCAGGATGCTGTGATGGCCCGTAGTTCATTTGATCTCTGTTTGCACCCTGGTCTTTTTTACTCCGGGAAGGGTGCTGGGGTCACAGTGAAGTGACTTGATTGTCTTTTCCACTTTGTTCTCCGCTTGCTGTGAATTAGGATGCAAATTTTCAGCTAAACACTTCAGTGGCCTCAAAACGGCTCCCCTGTTTTAGATACTGCTAGGAACTGCTTGGTTTCCTGTTTAGCTCTTGCATTTTTAAAAATGTGACATTTGGTCAGGAAGTTCATTTTGATTCATTTAATTGCCGCTAAAAATTCAAGACTCGAGAACTTTGACTAGACCGCATAAAACATTTATTAACAAAATGCATTTTAACCATGCCTTTCATTTAAACTGCATAGCATTTCATAGAGAATATATGGGAAATCTTATTAATTCAAGCTGATTTATTTTATTCTCTTAACAGGTAAGCATCAAGACATGTACAGCAAAGGCCACCCGTACCCCAGTTACCCAGGATACATCATGATGACCAATATGAACAATGAACCCTACATGAACAACGGCTCTCTCTCACCTCCCATTCCCAGAATGGTGAGTGTTATCCCGTGCTGTTCGCTCCCGAGCTCTCACTGTCCACCAGTGACATTTTTTTTTGGGGGGGGTTAAAAAAAATATGGTGGATACGCTAGCAGCTGTCCATCCTAATTCTGTTTGGTAGTTTTTGTGTGGTTAAGACTCCCTGTTTGGCAGTTGACTGGTGCCTGGAAGTGATGGCCGCTGCAGGCTGTCTGTGAGCCCGATGAGAGACAGGGCTTTCTCCGCTGAGCTCATCTCATCCATTGTTTGCACAGCTCTGAATTCAGCTCCTTTATCAGTCTGCGGCCGTGCGATTATGGTTTGGTTTCGCCGCTGTGGTGACGGACAGCAAACAGAAGATGATGCAGCAGTTGACCTGTAGTTGATCTAAGCATTTGGGATAAATGGTTCTGACTTTGTTAACATTTTTATTGTTTAGTTCTTTTTAAGCAGTTTTACTTAAGCATATACATTGTTACTAAACAAGATGTGGTTTAGCAGTTTATTGACAATTGGGTCAGCAATGTAGTCACTGGAACATCTGTGTGAATCCTTTGTGGTTTAAAGCCATCGCTTGGAAGGTACAAAACAAAAATCCACAAATAATAGCAGAATTTTTCATACCGATGCAAAGATTTTGCAGAGGGGTTGCAGAAATAATTGGCAACTTACCCGAATTTTGCCTTTTTTTCCTCTCGGTGTGCAATAAAATCCCAATCATGGCAGATCCATTTCCTCAGCCTCCACTGTCTGTTGTCTCTCTCTCCTTTGCGGTGGCTCAAATATTCAGACACCGTATCTCTAAGGTCTGGGATCGGTTTTCAGCAAGATCAAAGGCATCTTATCCCCCCCACCCCTTCATTCCCCTGAAGTTTGGATTGATTTCCATTGGCCATACCATTCCAGTGCCTGAACTCCCACCCAGTCATGAAGAAGACAATTTTGTAGTGGTCAGCAGATTTTTTTGGGGGTATTGCTACCTGGTGAAATGCCAATCATATGAGTACAATGTTCTCCAGCACCCCCCAACAGTAGTGGATATTGGCATTGGTGCTTAGTGATCCATGAAAGCTTTACATGTTGCTCTAATCTGATGGACGACATCTGGAAATGGCATCCAGGGCTCCTTTGAGATGACTAACTTGGGGTCAGCAGATAATGTTTCCAGGTAAACATTGGGGCTGCATTGTCTCTCGTGCCTGTAGCTTTGAAGTTGTGATATTTTAACATTCGTATGAAATGGCGAATTGGGAATTAAGACAACCTAGGCATTTCCTCCTTTTGAAATGATTTCCCTCGCGCTGGGGTGTTTCATGTAGTTCCGCTTAATCAGTTAATCGCCCCTTTTAATCAGTTGGAGAGAAGAATGGGGTGATGGGGTCCTGGATTTAATTGAATTGTATAATCTGTTCTCCATCCCCTCTCTTTCATTTCTTCTTAATTTGGATTATTTAAAGTTTGAACACAAAGCTTCATCTCACTAAAAGTTTTTGAGATGTTACATGTTTGACCTGTGACCCATAAATTATTTGAAATGTTTAAATGTCCTCAGATTTTCCAGAATTTTCTGATCTGAAGGCTTTTTCATTCCAAATGTGTTACAAAACAAATAGCGAAAAGGAAAATGAGTGGTATACTCACACAAAGAGTAAACAAATATTTGTTATAGTTAAACGAAAACCAAATTTACCTAGGTATAATAGATGGGATTTTCAGGCCCCGTCCACACGGAGACACGTTTAGCTGTATACGCATACATTTTGTATTGTATAGGTGTTTCGTCCACACGGATTCAGCGTTTTGGGAGAGTGAAACCGATATTTTTTTAAACCGGGTCCCAGAGTGGATAAATCTGAAAACGCCGCCCTTGCGTTTTCGTGTGGACAGCGAATCTGTATATTTTCTGAAACGATGACGTCATCAGCCCACGTCTCGATCCTAGTCAGACACCGCTACGTCACGTAACGGCAACAAAAAACATGAACAAACACCGAACAATTGTCTTTTTATTAACTAACATTAACACAGATTAATAAATGTATTGTTCCATGTTCGTTTGTATACTTCACGCAAGGTTTATGCACATAGTCCAAGTCTTCTTCTCTGTTTTTAGTGTATCTCTGTGGCAGAATTGCAGCACCACATGCTGGTCTGGCATGTATTTTACATCGTTTTGTGTCGGTTTCGTGGTTTCGTGTGGACGCAGATATTTCTTGAGACGAGGGGAAAAAAAAGATCAGATAGGGAAAGCTCTGGCTTCGTGTGGACGTAGCCTCAATGACAACCAAATTTACTCCAGTATAGTGGTTTGTGTAACGCACTTTTTGGTTTTACCGTAGATTTTGGATATTTGGTTGTGAAGTTGTTATCAGCAGATATTACTTACTCATCAAAGAATACAAATTTTATCATCGGAAAACATTGCAAATAGCATTTGTTTTATTCTAATTTTTTGTTTTTGACAAGATGTGCATATTCATGTTCAGTGTGCAAAATTCTCAGAGAAGAGCATTTGCGAATTTAGAAAAAAAAATTAATATATGAAAAATGTTTAAATATGGACGAACCTCTACTGTAATACATGTGCTGGAGCTGCTGGTGGGGCAACTTCAGTCCTTGTGCCGTTTTCCTCCCCCATCCTGATTGGCCTCTGGCAGTGGAGCTTGGGAAGGACCGACCCAAGATACACACTCACACTCAGCCTGCTTTGATGTGGGATGTGACGGATCTCTCAGTGTGGACATGCCGTGGAATCACAAACGCCCCCAAACCCTGGCTTTACCTAAAGAGATTTCACACAGCTGGATCTTCTACTCTCAATCTGTCCATTTCTGCACCATTCAAAGAAACTACATTTCCCAGCAGCCCTTGTGTGTGGTTTTTGTAACAATATTTATGGACCACATTTTTATTGCGTTTTAATAGTTTTCAGTATTATTGTTCTTTACATTTATAATATGCATTTCTAAATTCACCCATATGCCTCCCTGGTGCTCTTAGCACATACTTTAGACGCGTATCATATCGTCTTTTGATGAAGGCAAGCAAAGCGCACCGCCACCACACATGGGTGATAAGGGGCAAACAAGTAGCCGTATCATCTGCTGAGCAGGTCTGAACACCAGCACGGCCTAGACCTCGCAGATTTCGGCAGCCTACGGCCCCTTTGAAGTCCACTGGTACAGACCCAGGGTTTTGGAACAGAGGCCCATTGATACGGTGTTTACATCGGCCGGTTACCACAGCCATATTGAATCCATGTGTTGGATGTACAAAACAAAAAGGCTGGCAGTGTTATTAGGTGATTTTTGAAAGGTTTGCCTCCATGGGGCATTTCACCCCCCCTGAAATATTACTGTCAAACGACCCACTGAAATATGTTAATTGAAACGTCATTATAGGAGACTCCACAAACTCTGATATTCTAGAGGGATTGTCCAAATCAAATTGCTTTTGTGTGTATTCAAGCAGTGCAGTTATGTTTATTTATCTTAGCTCTGCTAGTCCCATTTGCCTACACACACACATATATGCTATATATATGTCCATTCAGATTTTTATGCATTTAGCAGATGTGATATAACAAAAATATTCATATTATGCAATGTCAGGTTTATTAGACAACCATATATATCCTATATATACTACAAATTGTTATTTTTGGACAATGAGCGTTATTTCTTGACCTTTTAATGCTCCGCTATTATGCAAACCAGCGGTAGCACCTGCTGAGATGATCATGAGGGCACATGCAAGTGAAGTGCCACGTTGTGTTTTGTCTTTGCGCCACAGTTGTCATCACTTTTTCTGCATGTTATGTCTCCAGGCCCGGCTGTGACCTCCATTACCCTCCAGCAGCCTTTTTAAGCCCTGCTTGCTTTTGAAAATAGTAGCTGATGCTCTCGTCTCAGTTTTGTTTGTTTTTCATTTGCACTTATTTATTGATGTTTTTTACTCCTTTTCATTTCATGTTTGTTGCTTCATTTTGTGTATTCTCATTCCCAGTGTCAGTTGAAGCTTGTTTAGTCTCGGATGACCCGAAATCCCCATGTTTTTCTAATTTTACAATTGTTTGTTTGAGAAGCAACATTAGATGCAAGTCAGTAACCCTCTTCTATCAAATCACGCTAATTGGATAACTGTTGGAGATTGCGTAGTATTGGTAGTTTTTGTGTTGTAGCAGCGTGTAGAAACACCAAGTTGAGCGACTTGTCAAACAGTCGTCATCTCAAGAGAAATTCGTCAGTGACAGTGATTGGAACCGCATTGTTAGAATGCATGCATGCATCTCTGAACTTCATTTGCACTGCTTTTTACTGATCAATAGAGGCTTTGTGCCACTAGGTTCACTTTTTTCATATTTTTCTGAAGCTCATTATTATTATTTTTATTTTTTTTTGCCGGGCTGTTTGTGTGTGTGTGTGTGTGGCAGTAAAGGAGCTTCACATGCTCCGTGGATCAGACACCACTGAAATATTCATGCTCCCTGGTGTAGGAGTTTGGTAAAGGGTTTCTCGGAGTTACAGTACAAAAGATGGCTTGCTACCAGGCTTTATTAGCAAGGCTGTTTAATGGATGTATAGATGCAGCCATTTCCCCCCCCCCCCCCTTTACTCACTCACTCCCTCTCTTTGTGTTGCACATCAAACCATCCCTCTGCCTCCGAATTCTCAGACTCTTTCTATTTCTCATAGTCAGTCAGTCAACTCATGTTTGCACCGGACGGGAGGGGAGGGCTTTACTATCAGCTCTTTTTGTGTGGTCTTGGCCATAAAAAACACCCTGTTCTTTGAATGTGAAAAGAGCCTGTCTTTAATTTTTGGGAAACTCATAAAAGTTTTTCGCTCCTTTTATATCTGCCGCAGAATTGAAAACAAATGCTTCCTTTTTTCATCCGCCTTTGAACTGGCCAATTATGGAGTTGTGAAAATGAAAATCACCCTGTCAATCTCTCTTGCTCCCTCTCCTCCTTTTTTACTCCTTTTTTTACCCAGCTTTTTCATTTTAACTTCGCT